ATGCTCTCCATATTTTAAATATAAGGGAACTTTCTTTCTTTTCTGGGGGGAACTTATTTCTTTATTAGTTTATATGTGTAGTTTTATACCCACAATCCTATCTTCTTCCCCTATATTTTGACTGTATGGTTCACAGCCATGCTGTGAGGTTTGAAGAGGAGGGCTGGGAAATCTCTGATACAGCACACCATGTAAGCCTAAGGCCAACATAGCAGTGGATTCTTGGTCCAAGTATGAACCTTTGCAAAGGGTTAACAGGGTCACCAGACTTAACTTGTATAACTTTTAACTTATGTAAATTAAGATCATACAAAACATTGTCTTTAGCCAAGTGTGATGGCAACCTGTAATCCCTGCACTTGGGAGGCTGAGGCAGGAGAATCAGAAAATTCAAACCATTCTCCACTACATAGGAGTTCAAGGCCAGTCTGAGTTGAGTGCAACCCTGTCTCAACCCTATCCCCTTCCAAAAACAGAAAACTTCAAGTTTAAATCAGACTTCTAAAGGAAAAAAAAAAAAAAAAAAGATGTCCTTTTTATGTTTCTATGTATGCTGAAATGTGTTTTAAGACCTCTGAACCCAGAGGCCGTAATGGGCCCAGAGGGTGCTCATGGAATTCCTGAGGTTCACAACAGCACAGGCTGCTATGCTCTAATGAGAGGTTACGTCTAAGCTCAGATCAGAAAAGCCAACCACTTAACTTGTAACTGCACCTGGAGCTCGTCATAGATGCACAAGTGAGCAAAATGTTCCTGTTCCAGATTCCAAGTCATATCCTGCACTGCCCAGCAAGCTTGGCCTTAGGAACATTTGTGTCTGCCTGTTTATGCAACCTTGGGTATTAGTCAATTCATAGTCTCAGGGAGAATTTCTAAAGTTCATAGAGCTTAACTCCACTCAACAATGCAGCTTATAGTGCTGAGATCAGGAAAGAGGCAGTGACACCTGGGAAGGTTTCAAAAGGTCAGGATATTTAAGAACCACACAGAAGGTTGCTAACAACACTGAATCCCAGTAGGACAAGAAGAAACACGGACATAACCAGTCCCAGAAATGCTAAGCCGAGGAACCTTTTCGGACTGAGAAGTCATTAACTCCCCGTACAGTTTCTAACTCATGTTCTGAAGCCGAATCACTTCAAATGTTGGACACGCCACAACAATTTCTTGCCTAAGCAAACAAAAGGACAGAACTGTTTCTTAGGGAATAATTGGACACATTCATCCACACAGAATTGTAGATGCCACCTCCAAGGACTTGCAAATATCCGAGTTCAGCCACCAGGTGGGCTGGGTGACTACAGCAACCATCAAGGAGTTTGTATTCAAAGAAGTGTTTCACATTGTCCTGAGTTGAACCTAAATCCTGTAAGTGTAAGTTCGTGGTATCTTCCCAGGATACGAGCAAGTGTCTACAGCTCAAAGATAAAGGAAGCCTTGTCTGGTTTAATCAAACTAGGCTGAGCAACACCTCCATAACTCATGTATAAGCCATTAAAAACAGCTTCCTTTCCGGCTGATCCTCTTGAAATAGGAACACCTCTGCTCCATGTGTAAGAGTTTGTACTTCTTTTACCTTCAAAAGGCACAATTTATGAATTGTGTACATTTTTAGAAGTATAAAATTCCAAGTAGCAGTGATTTAGTTTGTTTTGGTTAAAAAATTATTTTATTTCATGTGTGTGTGCACCATTGTAATTAGTGCTGCCCTCAGAGGTCAGAAGAGGCTCTTGGGTATACTGATGAGAGTTAAGGATGGTTGCTAGCCACCGTGTGGGTGCTGAGAACTGAGCCCTGGTCTTCTGCAAGAGCAGTCAGTGTTCCTAACTGCTGAGCCACAGTCACTTAACTTTAGTGATTAAATCAAGCAAGGTAAAGGGGGGAGAACTGTTTCTTAGGGAATAATTGGATACATTTATTCCAATGGGCAGTGCAGGATATGACTTGGAATCTGGAACAGGAACATTTTGCTCACTTGTGCATCTATGACGAGCTCCAGGTGCAGTTACATACACTCTACAGAGTGTATGTAAAATAACAAAATGTTTCTCTGCAGTGAATGTAAAAGTGGTTTATAAGCTCATGAAAATAACATATCTTTTAAACTGTAAAATGTAGCTAGGTAAGAATTAATTTTGATGGCCAGCACAGCATCTTGCAAAATATTGAATAAACAGACATAGTACCAAAAATATAAACCCTACACTAAAGGTGGAGTTTGGAGAATGTTCTCCAAAGGGCTGGGTTGTAGGCTAAGGTTTGATTCAGTTCTCCTTACTCTGACCTTCCTAATGCTCTCATCACTCCAAAACCTGGAAAAAAATCTCAAAAACTTGAGAGATAAGTACCAGTGTAACTCATACAAAAAAAACATGCTTGTGGAATAGCAGTGAAGTACTTGTTATTCTCACTCTGTGTGCAGTTGGTGTGTAAGCTTCAGAAAGTTCTTCAGTTCCCTTTGGGGGTCCATACCCTAAGGTGAAATATGATCATTTCTCCATTTTCTTAAAAAACAAGGCAGTGTGTTTTGAGTACAACACTGTCTTTTTTTTTTTTTTTTCTGGTTTTAAACACAAGGTTTCTCTGAGTAGTCCTGGCTGTCCTGGAACTCACTCTGTAGACCAGGCTGGTCTCAAACTCACAGAGATCCGCCTGCCTTTGCCTCCCGAGTGCTGGGATTAAAGGCGTGTGGCACTACTGCCTGACTCAAGACTGTTACAAAATTCCAGCCAATTGTCCATTTTGTACCTTCTTTTCAGAGGCCACTCTTTCCGAATACAGTCAGAATGAAGGTTTTTTATGGATACAATTACGGTTCTAGAGCAATTGGTTTTTAATTAATGTTGGGCAGGCCTAATTCATCAAGCAAAAGCCTTGAGAGGCTTGGAACCTTTGTGAAGGGAGACATAAGAGTCTGCCTACCTTGTGGAAGCAAAACCCATCACGGTGGTGCCTGCAGTATGGCAGTAGGGCAGTCAGCTCTCTGATACCTTATCTGCAGTCTTGTAACACTGAACAGAAAGGGCCAACCCTGCTGCCTCCTGACTTGCAGAGTAAATGGTGTTGTTTAGACTTCTCCATCTTGCGTAATTTGTCACTTGTCAATAGACGTGTGCTGAAATGTGATGGAAGGAAAGCATTGGTCAACTGGAAGACACAGATCAGAAAGCATCCAATCGGAAGAAGAGAAAGAAAGAAAGG